TTTTCTTTAATAAAACAATGATTATAAAAATCAATTGGTCTCTTGAACAGTAAATTGTCATAAGTCATCCATGATGGTATTGCTCCGGCCAAATTTTACTTAATGAGTCCTAACCTGTGGAGCTTAGTATGTCTAAGGACTACAAAACCCACATGGTTTTCTATCTGAAATATCCTAAGGTACAAGAGTGTTCTTATTAGGACAGACTTGTAAGCAGGTGTTTGGCTCACGCCTTGCTGAGATCCAGGACTCACTCAGCACCTTTAAGGGTGTGCAAACTCCTAATTACTCTCTGTCCGCCGACTAGGTAACCTCTAGGGGGGACCTTGGTCGTTACAGCAGAGACATCACCTTGCCGACAAAGGTCTGCATAGTCAAAGCTAGGGTTTTTCCAGTAGTGTTTTATGGAAGTGAGAGCTGGACCATAAAGAAGACTGACCGCCAAAGAATTGATGCTTTTGAATTGTGGTGCTGAAGGACACTCTTGAGAGTCCCCTGGACTGCAAGGAGATCAAACCCATCCATTCTGAAGGAAATCAATCCTGGATGCTCACTGGAAGGACAGATCCTGAAGCTGAGGCTACAATACTTTGGCCATATCATGAGAAGAGTCCCTGGAAAAGACCCTCATGTTGGGAAAGTGTGAAGGCAAGAGGAGAAGGGGATGACAGAGGACAAGATGGTTGGACAGTGTCATCGAAGCTAACAATATGATTCTGACCAAATTCCACGAGGCAGTGGAAGACAGGAGGGCCTGGCGTGCTCTGGTCCATGGGGTCATGAAGAATGAGACATGACTTAACAGCTAAACAACAACAACAACAACCTTTGCCAATTGAACTAAAGTCTGCTTTCTGACTAACTTGAGTCAGAGAGGCATGTCATTAGCCTCATGCTTCCAAGCAGTTTGTCCACACCTTCAGGCAAAAGCTAATCAAAATTAATTCAAACAAGAAAAGACCATACATACTCACAATCACACAACCAGCTGTTATGTCAGTAACTAGGAGCATCAGCCAACCTTTTATTCAATATAGGAAAGCCATCCCTTTCGTTTTGTTTATCAACCGTCCCTGCAATCAAGGACCTGGTGAAGTAAATCATGTTTCATAGGGGAGTCCTACCGAACCCCTTGGCTGCAAATCCTGTTCAGCACCAGCACTTTGCCACTAAAGAAAGGGTGGGCAGTCTTGAGGCTTAGGGCCATACATGACAATCCCCACCACTCTACACCCCCAAAATGAAAAAGTCCCATTGTGATGTCTGGTAAGTCCTCCCCATGGTAATGATCCTCAGAACATGAGAAAATTGCCCCTGTGCCCTCTAAAGAGCAGGGGGAGGTCTTTTTGAGTCAGTGGTTTTAAATTTGAAGAGATTGGGGCAGGTTTGGTCTGCATTAGGACCCTGGAAACTGCATATTGCCCATGGACCACATCTTTCGTACCCCTGTACTTGGCCTTAGGCAAGCAGAGATCCATATTATAGTTGGCCAACTCTTCCTAGGTGCTTCCCTGCACCAAGATCCTTAGAAGTCAAACCGTTCACACTATGGTTGTTGTCCGAGCAGTGTGATCCCAACAATATTGTGGCTCTTGGAAGGAATGATTGTTCCCTTACATTTAAATTCAGCATATTGTAACCAGTGCTATATCCACCAGTACACAGACCAACTAGAACAGTCAGTTATCTTGTCTCTTAAAATGTTTTCTGATTTTTTTTAAAAAAAATATGTAAGTATTTGGGTCAGAATCAGATAAAAAGATTTAAGGGGAAATCAGACAGTGTGGAAATGGCTAAGAACTGTAGTTAAAGTAACATATGGGGCAAGAGAATGGGTCTTGGTCATGTAATTCCTTTTCTCTCTTTATTTTGTTGGCTCCATGAAATTTGATTGTGATAAGATGCTTATGTAAAAGCAAAAAGAACACAAACCCATCTCTTATGTAAAGTCAAGCGACAGTAGCTGTCTCCAGAGATATAAAAAGGATAGTAAGAGCTCTACTTCCTAAATCTTTCTGCACTTATTCCTGCAAGTGATTAGTAGAACTGATGGGAGATGTTCCAAATTAATTTTGTGTTAGTACCAGAAAGGGACTATTAAGAACAGAGAGAACTAGAATAACACTACCAAAGATGACTTTCTCAGCAACCCATTTTACCTAGGGAGGTGACTTCTTCACCCTGCTAGATTTGTCGTGGAATGAATAACTATGCTTTCAAGTAGTGGATCAAAGGATATGCTGATAAAGAACACTGTTGCTAAGTCAGCAGGAGGAATGTGGGCATTAACGGTCTCACATCAGGGACTTCCTGCACATGTAAATTTTTGCTAGGCTGCAGAGCTTGGAAAAAATGCTTATTTGAGTTAAAGCAGACCTTGAAAAGTTGCCTTTTATACTACAACTCCC